GATCACCAAGAAGCAAAGAGCAAGGACTCAAATAAATAAAATAGAAATGAAAGAGGCAAAATAACAACAGACCCCACAGAAATACGAAGAATTGTAAAAAAATACTATGAGCAACTCTATTCCAACAAACTGTTCAACCTAGAAGAAATGGACATATTCCTAGAAAAATACGACCTTCCAAAACTCAACCAGGAAGAATAAAAAAATCTGAATAGGCCGATACTATGGAGGAAATTGAAGCAATAATAAAAAAACTTCCAACAAACAAAAGCCCTGGACCAGACAGCTTTACAGGGGAGTTTTATCAAACATTCAAATAAGAAATAAAACCTATCTTCCTCAGACTATTCCAAAAAATTCAAGAGGAAGAAACACTTCCAAGCTCTTATTATGATTCCAGCATTAGCCTAATCCCAAAACCAGATAAAGACAATACAAAGAATTATGGCCCAATATCCATCATAAACATAGACGCCAAAATTCTCAACAAAATTCTAGCAAATCGAATCCAGCATTACATTAGAAAGATCATACACCATGACCAAGTGGGATTATTCCGGGGAATGCAAGAATGGTGAAATATCCGTGAATCAATAAACGCGATACACCACATAAACAAACTAAGGGATAAAAACCATATAATCATATCCATTGATGCAAAAAAAGCATTTGACAAAATCTAACACCCTTTCTTTTTTTTTCTTCAAAAATATATTTCATTCACCCTTTACAGAGAGGAAGGGAGAGGGATAGAGAGTTAGAAACATCGATGAGAGAGAAACATCAATCAGCTGCCTCCTGCACACTCCCCACCGGGTACGCGCCTGCAACCAAGGTACACGCCTCCGACCGGAACCGAACCTGGGACCCCTGAGCCCGCAGGCCGACGCTCCATCCACTGAGCCAAACTGGCCAGGGCTAACACCCTTTCTTGATAAAAACTCTCAGCAAGGTAGGAATAGAAGGATCATAACTCAACATTATAAAAGCCATATATGACAAACCTACAGCCAACATCATACTCAATGGGCAAAAACTAAAACCATTTCCCATAAGAACAGGAACAAGACAGGGATGCCCACTCTCACCACTCCTGTTCAACACAGTACTAGCCATTGCAATCAGACAAGAAATAATAGACATCCAAATTGGAAAAGAAGAAGTAAAACTGTCCTTATTTGCAGATGACATGATACTGTACATAGAAAACCCTAAGGACTCCATCAAAAAA